GCTCCACATTCCCTACTTCCTTTTTTCTCTTCCTTTACATCTGTCGCGCCTTCCCCTAAGCTCATGCCTCACTTATTTACTTTTAACAGAAACCATATTGACATTACGAATAGCGACTTAATCATTCCCTGACAGCCACTTCATTTCTGCAAAAATATTTATGGAGGTGCCAGCAATGTATGTCAGTTCCGAGCTTAAGTTCAACGTTGCTCGCAGATTTCACAACGCTAGGTAGTGCGCGAACGATCATTGGTCGGCTTCCCGCTCGTAACAATAACAAGTACTAGGGGACGCCAGCAGGCCCAAGAAGTGTTCTCAATTCACGCCGCCATTCCTACGGGTGGTGCTAACACTCTCAAGTTTGAATGCACACATATACCGGTAAACTGTAGAGGAGGATAACCTCCATCGAAGCTCATAGTAGAGCATGGGACACGTTATTCAAAGCTTGCTGCTTTGGCGTCTGCTGGCTGCAAGCAGTGTTTTAGTGCACTGTACTACAGCGAGAGCTATTATGAGATCACTGCAAGGGTCACGTGCACCATAGTTGTCCGCCGCTGCCGGTGTCTGTAACCACTATTGCGTCAAATAAGAAATAATATAAGTGAATCAAACCGACAAGAACGTGGTCGGATTCGAACCCGGGTGCTCTGCATGCCATGCCAGTGTTCCACCGCTGAGCCACGCCGATGATTAAAACTGTGTTGCAAACTGAACCCAGGCAGGCTTGATGTCGGAAAAAGAATCGTGTTAGTAGAAGTAATAAAGTGTTTTAGAACAACCAAGAAACAAACAGGCTTTGCGTAACGAGGGGGTTATCCAATGCTCCAACCCATTACCAAAACTTCAGGTCTCATTCGTAATCACCGTCAGTCACAGCAACAAAAAAATTGCTCAAAATTCATTGCGATTGTGTAGCTCTTACCAAACTTTTCCCGCAAAATGACGAAGGATGGTATAGTGAATGCCTTCCCACTACACCACAATTATGATGATTTATGGTGTAGTGGCACCCTGCAAGTTCGCCTGTAGCAGTTACCGAGTGTTTAAAAACTGCTCTGAAAGGCCGCTTTTCCAGCAATCGTTGTGACTGTGCAGCATGATGCGTGCAGGTCTGGCAGTTTTTTTTTCATCCCATACACATAGTAATTACAACAACTAACATTCTCGCCAGTACCCTTTCTTTTGTTGTCTGTTTTTCTGTCAATAATGTCGTGTCTCACAAAGAAAGTGAGCACTGGATTCCCCATTAATTCACTGATTGCGAAACTGTCGTACATGCCGATTTCATGCATTCAGGTAGTATGAAATGGATTGTTGGTCAGCTAACCACGCGCTACGTGACGTCAGCGGGCAAAAGAATCGTGTTGACATTCGCCATCGTTTCTACGACTTCAGCTCACAATATCTCCAAGTTTTAAATGCACATATATACCCGCGCGCTGTCAAAACATCTCGGAAAACACTCGTAATATTCGTGATTCCAGCTGAGCACTCGCCATCTAGCGGCCACTCCTGTAAACAACACTTAGAGGACCAACCTTGAAATGAGACATGCTGTAACGCTGCGCACGTTGAGGAGCCACCGCGTGGTTTTTTATTTTCGCCATGCCACACGTGCAAGCCCGAAAAAGCAGAAAGCGATGTCTAAAGACCATTACCATCGAGAAACACTTCTAGATGCTATTACATATTTCTCTCTGCCATTAGTGTGTGCCGCAGTGCGTAGCATGACAGTAGAAAGGTAGCAACGTATCGCTATATCGATTCCCGAAGGATGCAGACGACGCGCGACGGAGAACAGCGTAGATAAGAATCTTACACATTGGAAAGAAGGTGACAGACAGTATATATAGTGCTTTGTTCTAATCACAGCGCTCGCGACAACGTTATTTATTCTGCACGGTGAGTAGACCAATATTTAGCGTGTGTACATCCTTGTACATATTTGGGCTTGTCAAAAAGCGTAGTATAGTTTAGTTCATATCAATAAGCGCTTAAGCGTCAACTCGTGCATTTCAGATTGTGCGACACTTCGTATAATTTTACGTTTCTGAGACAACTTGCACAAGCCACCTACGTGTGTTTTTTTTTTCTAATTATGTGAATTTTTCGTTGTTGAGTGGTACTTTCAGAATGCTTACCACTTATTGGCCGTAATTGGTTTGGTTTCCATTGGGATCCTTGAATTATTTGTTTGGATTTTTTGTGATTTTTTACTCACGGACAACATTAATTTTTTTCTCACAAGCAACGATGCTGCCGCTGACGCTGACAAGGAAACTTTTTTTTTAAACGGGCTTTATACCGCTATGGAATAAGTGTGTCATCGCCTAAACCCGTGTTGCAGTGATCTACGCGGACGCCCCAAAGGGCAGTGATACAGGCAGCTCAAGCCAAAGTTTCCGAAAACTATTTCCCCGTAATATTTGCCTTCAATTTTCATCTCTCCGACAAAACCGGGATAGTGAAAGTTTGGCTTGGTCTCTGAAAATTCGGGCGCTACAGGCGTGGACGAAGCCAGCTATGTGACGTCTTGAACATTGATAATCTGTGGCACAAACATGGTCTTCGGTTCACGCCGGCAACACATTGCTACATTTTAGATACTTCCACCTAGCTTTTACGCAGTTCCTCTGGAATAGTCACAAGTCATTCAGGGCGGATCTCTAGATCTCGTAGAAGTCTCAGCACTACTGCCTGGCAACTGTTCATCAGCCGGTGGTAATCACCAAGATCAGTGTACTTTTGTAGAGCATTGCAGATTTTGATTGGTCCGAAAGAGTGGGTACCGAGTGGAAGCTTGAAATAGAGAAAAACAGAAACACTTACTTTCATGGGAGCGCCTAAATATCCCCGTAAGCAAACAATGATTTGCAACAGCCATTGTAGTACAGTGCACATACATCCATACTTTTATGTGAACGCACATATTTTCACTATTATGTGAAAAAATTATATATATGGCGTCCGGTAAAATTAAGCTCGCATAGAGCCCTTGATACCGTTTACTGTTTTCTTTGATATTGGGCTGGTTCATTGCACCTGACAGTGAACCTTAATCCTCAACCTACCCGAAAGTTGTTGCAAAAAAAAGAAATAGAATGGAGGCATTGGAGAGAAAGGGCGTCAGGACGTTTGTCGCCACAGGCGAGCAATCTTCTCTTCATCATCCCCACCATGGTTAACGCAAAAGGCACGGTCACCTATCAATGCCCATATATCAACTTCGGTCCATTTTGGCGTTACAGCATACGAACGAGATTTCAAGAAGCGGAGAGATTATGATCAATGCAATCACAAAGCAAGGAGTCAACCTAACAGGACATACGAAGAGCTCATTTACTTTACTTCAACAAGGCCTCTTCCACAGTGGTTTCGAGGTTTTAGTGAACGTTAACAAGCATATAAAGGTACTACTGTTTCAACACAGCACCTGCTCTTCTGACCAAAGTTGAGTACCACGGAACTTGCTAGAATACCCGTCATCCACCTGAAAAAATGACACTTATACGGTTGTCAACTTTTGAATGTCTTGCCCCCTTCGGAATCTGCTGACGAAATAAAACAAACTGACGAGAGTTTGCTCCCTTGTTTTTGTGGTATATGTTCAAGCAACTTTCTCCTAGGTGGGCAAGCTGCAGCAGTGGGAACGCCCCAACGCACATGGAGGGCAGGCTTTGTTTTTGTGATATATGCTCAAGCAACTTCCTTTTAGGCGGGTAATATTTAGGAGTGGGACCACCCCAAAGCACACGGAGGGCAGGCAAAGTCGTAGGGCAAAATTGTTATATTATTTGTTTTTGCCGGAAACGTTGATTATTTATGTTGCACATCACCTATACGTATTCTTGTTTATCCCAATAAATTTTAGTTTTGAATCAGTGCCTGTCCGGCGTTTCTTGTTCTTCGCCATCTTCGTTCTTCGCCGTACAATCTTCTCTCTCAAATCCGTTAAATCAGACCAGTGGTAGCTAATAAACAAGAGTTGTTTTGGCAAGGCTTGTACTTTGCTTGTGCGCTTCCGGCTACGAGCTGAACTTGAATGCTCGCTAACTGATAAAATCTGGTGCGGTGGAGATGGCAATGAACTCATAAACAAAACAGTCAACGTTCGCGGTTTCCAATGACAACGCCCTTATCTGGCGCGAATTTTTACAGAGAGCATCTTCTTATTCCCTTTTGATTTTCTTGCTTTGTAATCTGATCCCCTACGTCCAAGAGATATCTTAAAAGCGTCCACTCGGCTTCGCGTGGCGCAAGATATAGACTCGGCTATAGCGCGAACCACGCAAGCAGCTCCCTTCTGTTGGAACATCGCGAATCCGTAAGCCTGTTTATTGCATAACTTTTGAGGTATCACAGTGTGCCCGCGTAAGTCATTATCTGTGTTGAATAGGCTGTACTGGTGGAAGGACTCGTAAAAAGGTTAAACAACAAGGAAATGTTATTGAGCCTGAAAAACAAAACGTGGGGTAACATCGTATGGCAAATGTTTTCTTCACTCCTGCTCCGAGAAAAAACGATGTAAATGCGTTTCAGTCAATCTGGTCATTAAGTCGACATGTCTATAACGTTCACTTCGTGCTTTCAGCCTTCTCTATGTTCTTCAAAAAACATGCCTGTAAGGCGAAGTCTATTGAACACGGCACTTTCATCAGTCCCATTTTTTTTCCCTTTTATACTGCAAGGTCAAACAAAAGACAGGACAACCAATAAGTGTAAACAGAATAAGAAAATAGTGCCTCATATTGATCATGGCAAATATACATCCAAATTATGACTTTCTGTGTAACTTGTGAAACTTCCGAAGGCATATATTGTCCTGTCCACATTCTTCGAGTTATTGTTCAGTTATTTTCATAATCATCTACGAAAACGCCCAATATACGACTCTCGATCTCTCAGCCATTCTAATTTCAATCACTGTGCGCTGAACCTTTTCTGTGTACTGCAAACGATATAGTCCAGGTATTCCAACTCTATTCTTCCAGCTCCTCCCACAAGCATTGTGATGGCGTCAAAGTGCTCGGCTGCCATCTTGCTCTGGTGCGCCTTTACTGCGGGTCGTGGGACGGCCCGAAACCCATCAAGCTGCGGCGGTCTCACTGTACCACCCGAGAAGCTTGTCGACCTGTCATACAGTTTTAACAACCGAACAATCTTCTGGGCCGACGACGCCGAATTTCGTCTCAACGTCTCACGTCGCGGAAGCACGCCTGAAGATTGGTACGTGAAGTGGCTCAGTGGGCTCATAGAGAACACACACTTTTTCAGGCATGTTATTGCTACTAAATGCCGACACATTGAAAATATTGTGAGACAGCAGGCTTAAGCAGTGACATTTGCATGTAATAACAACCAGTCCTTTCATGGTCTACTTTTTCTGGTAGCAGAAGAGACAGAGAGAGCTTTCTTTATAAGAAGGTAGAGAGCTTCACCTGAGCGATGGTATCTTGTAGCACAAGTTGACAATGTTGTTTAACACATCTAATTAAACGTCATTAAAGCCATACCTTTAAGCAGTGGCGTACCATCTCTTCCGCGATTGGAAGGGGGGGGGCAAACTACCTACCTCGCTCATCAGCCAGAATATATATATATATATATATATATATATATATATATATATATATATATATATATATATATATATATATATATATATATATATATAATCAGGGAAAGAAGTGTATACCTAAGGGCTCGTTTTTCCGTGTTTTAACACAATATTAATGAGATCTAACAGACAGTAATGCCAAGGAATGTACAGGGGAAGTTATTAGAACCAATGGAATGTGAATAAGAAGAAAGAAAAGTGGATGAAAAAATAACCAGCCGTGAGCAGGAATCGAACCTACGACCTTCGAATAACGCGTTCGATAACGCGTTCGAGCATCGATCGGTCGTAGGTTCGAAGGTCTTAGGTTCGATTCCTGCTCACGGCTGGTTATTTTTCATCCACTTTTCTTTCTTCTTATTTACATTCCATTGGTTCTAATAACTTCCCCTGTACATTCATTGGCATTACTGCCTGTTAGATCTCATTTATTATATATATATATATATATATATATATATATATATATATATATATATATATATATATATATATATATATAATGACATCGAGAACTTCGTCGACGCGTTTGCGCTTTGTTGTGATTTTTCATGCACAGAGCACTTGTTCATTAGCGTAAAAAAGGAACATTTAGTAAGTTTTGAGCAGCATGCTCTGGGAATACACATGTTCGTTGTGTCATACACATAACGGTATTGCATATTGCATGAGACACTTTTGATGCATTGCCTCTCGCAACTTTCCGCATGAATACACTCATGTTGATGGTGGGCTTCCCAACAGTATATAATTATTTGAATCATCAAATGAATTTTTAATGACAAAAAATCAGCTGATAAAAATTGAATTTCAAATGCAGGGCAATCCCTACAGAACCAAAGGTGTCCTGAGCGTTTCTATACTTGTCTACATATCTGGTTGGCTACGTCTTGGAACTCTCATATTTGCTTTATCACTTAGTACAGACCGAAATCGGCATGGAGGGGGGGGGGGGGCATTAAGGTATGAGAACATGAGTGTGATGCCGACATGACGTGAAAACCATGTGTACGCCATGACACTCTTTCTCTCAGTTATGCGTCCCGTACCCGTATACCACGGGCTGCGATATGTTAGTTTGCGCATTACAGTTTGTATCTATTTAGAAGTAGCGATAACAGATGCCAGCAATTTAAACGCGAGAACCTTTCAAAAATCTGGCATTGGCAGCGTTGATACAATGAGTGCAAACAATAAAAAATAAGGATCCGAAAAGGAATTGAAATTCGACATTTCGAATGTCAATCATGTATTCTACCACTGAACCACGAAAGGCATCAAATTTTTTAGTAAAGGTGCTTTGCAAATATCAAGTCGGTGCCAAGTGATTGCGGTTACTATGCTAGCTATCTAAATTGATGACAAGGAGATAACCAGTTCATTAATACTGCACGTTATGTCCGGTAAACATCAGTTGTAGCTTCGGCATCGCACCGCAAGGAGCCTTCAAGGACAATCGTCACAACAGAAATTTCGGAAACGTTTTACTGTAAAAAAACATTCCCTGATAACATTTTCATTTCCTCGTAACAATAAAATTGAGTTATTGATGTGGTGAAGCAAGACTTCACCGTAGTTGTTGGATTCCCATACGTGGAACCGACAGTGACCCCTGTTAAAAGTGCTCAGCCCGCCCCCAACTTTTCTCTGTGGGAGATGGGCGGGGGGGTTTCGTGTGCCCCCTTGACACCCCCCTCCCGGCTGATACGCCTATGCATTTAAACCACAACAACCTAAACAGAATATATGCAGCAATTTTTATGGCACAGTGGAAGGAGCAAGCAAGAAACACAGATGCATTGATGTATGAGTACTGTATTCCTTGGTTTATTTTGTTCCACGCGTACCAGAAGAAAACATGTTCCATAAAGCTAATTAGAAACTATCTTCGTTGAGTGTTAAAAACACAAGAAAAGTAACAATGAACTTTGATTTTCCCCAACATTTAGCTGTGGAAACGCACAAAAAGCCTTCCAGGCTTGCTGCCTTTTATAATTTATTTGCTACACTTGCCATGTGGCAAAGGAGTAATGAAAAACATTGATTACTCCTGTTCTTTCCTTTTTCAGGTACCAGGCTGATGTCGTTGAGCTGGCTACTCACGGTGGCACCCATCTGGATGCGCCTATTCATTTCGCTCCCGAGAGGTGGACTGTGAGCCAGATACCACTGGAACGCCTCATGTTCTTGCCCATCGCACTCGTGGACGTTGAGGCACAGTCGAGCGAGAATCCCGCGTACGAGTTGTCCGTCGAGGACATTGAGCGCTGGGAGGCGGAGCATGGGCACGTTCCTCACGGCTCCCTTTTTGTGGAGAGGACTGGACGTTATAAGGTGAGGTGACAAAAGCAGATTATTGTTCACTTTTTCCACATCAGTACCGTCATGTTCCGACGGCCTCCTCTGACGTAGCCAGCATTGCAATGCTTTCATGTCTGAATAAAGGAAGCGGAGCAGAGCAAACAGTAGCCCATGGCTTACCTCTCTACTTTCCTGTCAATAAATTATCTCTCTCAACCTATTTATTCATTTTTATTTGATATGATGTTCCTTCATTGCCACGAGGCGTTTCGGAAAGGCAGGTGTGTAAAAACAAAGTAAATAGAGCAATACTTTGTTAAAACATGTTCTCTGCTGAGATTTCAAAATAATCTTCGTTGGTGAGCCCTGATGACAGCCAGAGGGCCGTTGAGGGCCATATTATTGCGAAACTGGCTGCTTCACGAAACCGTTTGGAGACAAAAGCTTTAGGTTGGCAGCGCGACTACTTCTTGGTTACTTTGAAATTTTATTTCAGTGCACTTAGTAGCCACTTAGGTTCCTTGTAGATAAAATGCTGAGCAAACCTAAGAAGATTCAACGAGAGTTCAGCCATTGCTTGCGCGTGCTCCTACCTCCTACCGTAGGCTCATTGAGACACCTTAACTCCATGTTCGGACACACCGGCCAAAAAGGACTGACGAAATACTTGTTCACCTATTCAGTGTAATTTGCATCCACTGCGGAAACTTGCGAATAGTTCGGTAGTTTTATAAATTTGGGTAAACGTTAAACACTGGGAAGGTGTGGAACATAACTTCCAAATTGCATGTCACTAACTTACATGTCCACAATGCTCCAACCAAGTTTGCTCGTATAACCAGGGTGAAGCACCTTCACAACCCCTTTCTGCTCATGCATGGCTTCATAAATGATGGAGAACAGAAGTTATGTTGAAAAATATTTAGAGTTTATCAACTCTTCGCAATCAGGGTAGTCAACAGCCACTTATCCCTACGACCAGGAAAGACCACAACGGCCTAAAAACTTTAGACTTGAGGGACTGCATGACGAGTGCGTGACTGTTTTTTGTGTAAATCAATGACTTGGCGCAATTGGCAATGAACGCGACATTAGTGGAATTCCTGGAGACGAGAATCGCAAACGTATACCGTCTTTGATGACGCAAATTCGCTTTACTTTTTCTCATTCTATCATAATTGGGTTCAGATAGTTGCAGGGATTTATTGACGTCCTTTGTGTCACACGTGAAGTTCTGTCAAGACTGTTGCGCTCGCGGCCGCAAGAGCAGTTAGGCGCGTAGATTTTGCATCACAGGCCGGCCGAACAAGTCTACGCCAGCAGTTTCAAAATCTGCCCAAGATTTGACACGTGTATCGTTAGAGAACGACAGATGAGCCAAGCCCACGCAATAATGCGAAAATTCGCTTAGACTCACATAATTGAAATTCGTCCCAGAGATGCTGAAGTAGCATGCCGACGGGTTCGTACGACGACCTCCAAACGTAGAAGTCGGAGTTTGCGGTGCTTCTGCTGATCACTCTTGAGCCTCGGTGACGGCTTTGAGCAACACGCGTAGCGTGGACAGTTGAAGAGGTAGATAGCTCACAAACGTCAAACTGCTTGTCGGTGACGACAATGGAGGAAATAGTATAGCTTGGGAGATTCAAAGGTGACACTCAGCCTGCATTTACACAAAATTTTACGGTGCCTACTAACGTGAGCTGTAGAGGTATCATCGAGCAGTCCTCCTGTTGCGTAACCTCTAGTGAGGACATTTACTCCAGGCTTTAGTGTATGCCTTCCTCCTACAGCAGGCCAGGTAGTAACGACGCACTGTGTGCTCTTTTGATGACTACAATGGAAACACTTGTGACGTAATCAGAGATCAGTCGAGTTAAAAGTGCTTCTGTCATGGATGTAGCGCCACTACCAAAGAAGTAGCTTGACATGATGAAGCCGTGCTTCAAGTTTCTGCACAAATTCAAATGCGTGAATGAGCGTCTGATGTGACGCACAGAAAGTGTTTGGTGTGTTGTCGTAAACTCAAAATCACATCATCTTTTCGAAACGAGGAAAACAAAGAAATTTACAGTGTATAATGCTTACAGAACTTATCTTCAAGACGCTTCATAAACGCACCGTGGCATCTTAGCAATGTTAAGTTCGAGGGTGCGTAATCGGTTCGCGTCGAAGACACGCGCATTTTGACATCAGGAAAATGCCAAAAACACACGTACGTCAACACATATTTAGGTGCACGTGAAAGAACTTCAAGAGGCGGAAATGAATTCGGAGTAATTCGCTACTCCGGGCCTCATAATAACATCAAGATCTTGGTGCGCAAAACACCAGCAATCATTGTATATTATTATCCACTCATGCAGCTCTGGCCGAACCGCAATGCTTACTTGGGCATTGACGACCAGGGATGGAGGCGTTTCCCGACAGTTTCACCGGAGGCAGCGCGGTTCCTGGTCGAGCAGCGGCACATCTACGGCTTCGGACTGGACTCGCCTTCCGTGGACCTGTTCAATGCCTCCGCAACCCACAGGATTCTCTCCTCCCACAACGTGTACGTGCTCGAAAACCTGGCCGACCTGTCGCGCGTCCCGGCACTCGGTGCCACAGCCATCGCGCTGCCCGTCAAAGTCTGCATGGCCAGCGGTTCCCCTGTGCGTGTGGTGGCCATCCTGCCGTGAACCATTCCGCACACTCGCTCCACGTGAGGCTCCCTCGAAAACCGAAGAACCTCCCGTGAGAGAATTTCATTGTGGCAGTTAATAAGAGTAACTACGGAATGCACAAATACTACTTCTCGGGACAGCATAAAATTCCCGATGGCTGAATAAAATCGAATTATTGCCAATAATTGAAACTGTTTCAATATTTCGCATGATCGGGTGCCTTTGAGTCATGGATTTTTACGTCATAACGCTTCCACAGTGACATAAAAATTTGTTTGCCACTGATGCCGTTAATGCGAGGCAATCGCCGTGCAGACCACACGGGCTGACGTATTAACCTCAAAAACGCATCACGCAAACAGGGACTGATTAGCACGCCAGCGAACGCTCATTGTGGGCTAAAGACACGAGTCGTAGTCGATAATACAGTTGTAAGTGAGCGCCCGTGGTGTCTATGTGCGTTTTTTTTTCTCTCACAGCGGTTGTTCACTCGGCGCGAAGTTGACTATTTAATAAAATACAAACAAAGTATGCTCTCCGTTTAGAAGCTACAAGTATTTCACAAACATGCAAATTATTATTATTATTTGATTTGCATACGCATATACACATGGACACAGAAGAAAGAGCAAGAGAGCAAGCTGGTACAGCCACCTGGAGGGGCACAACACCTGCTCACTCTTTCGGGAGGAGAGAAAAACAGAGGAAATTCGGATGATATATAAAACAATACAACTACCAATATAACGTAGATGACGTTTGAAAGCACGACGAAAAACAGACCGCTCCAGAATTGTTATATCATGCATTAAAAGCTATTTACGAACATTTAGAGTATTGAATATTCACCAATTGTGTCTATAGAGTTCACAAATTATAGGAATTGTCTCGAGTGCATCTCTTCTATAAAATGGTGCTGGCTGCATCGCTGGGCATCTCTCTTTCCTTTGTTGACAACCCGTTACATTGCAAGTTTCCAAAAGGTAAATACAGGCGACTCTGGCACTGCAATAATTCAGCACCCATCAGAAATATGTAGTGCTACTTAGTACATTTATGTGCCTGTTCTTCGTGCTAGCGGACTTAGAACGCACGTGTGTCTTTGTTTATGGTTGTGTTTTGGTTTTGTTTCATTAGAAAAAACCTTTGTGATCGTCGTGAGTCGATTATAGTTGGTCAGCCTAAAAAAGGTCACAAGTGGTGAAGCGCGTGGAGATAGGTTTTCAAAAGGCGACCGAGAAGGGACGCGACACTTTCCACTGCCGTAGCGCACAAATACGCTACGCCAGGGTTAATGGACTCTTTGACACGGTGAAGAGATGGCACTCAAGGCAGCTGGTCAAAACACGGGTTTATTTACCCAAGGTACAGCACAGTGTGAAAACATTGAGCTTGCGGGCCGGCAGAAAACTCCTTAAAAAGACCCTGAAATTGCTTTGACGACTTTTTACAAACACATTGAGCCAGTAGACCAAGTCTCAAGAGTAATTTAGAAACCAATTCGAGCTCTCTGCGTAAACTGTATACTATATTACAACGCTTTAAATCTGCAAATTGCTCCAGATAGCTGCAGATCCCTGCGACTCGGCCAAACGCGTTTTCAACCGCCCATACACCAAGCGGCGAGCTCTGCCCCATTGACGTCATCGTTTTCAGCTGATCTGATTGGCTGTGGAAGGCGCAGCACAGACTACCGGTATCGGATCGGCGGCGGGATTTACGCGTGTGCGGTCTCACGCCACATCGTGGCGCAGGCGAAGTCAAGGTGGAGCTTAGCCCCGAGCACTCGAAGGAAGAGTTGAGGACAATTGAGTGTAAAAGGTCGAGCGGGGGAGGAGAGAGCGAAGGAGGAGGAGAAAGACGATAGTCTTTCTTGGGGACCTTCGACGCAAACATTTCGTTCTGTCTGTCTGTACATTTGTCTGTATGTGTTTAAGAGAATTTTATTTCTGAAAAAAACATACGTACACAGAACACATTTATGTGTTACATTGTTCGTTCTCAAGGTATTGCTAATGTGTCTTAATATACATTCAAATGCGCAACAGGAATTGTTTGTCACAGAAGTTCAAACGTGCATAAAGAAAACTATACTGATACGTATAATTCATGAAAAAGAACAAGAACAACATTTTCAAAAATGCGTATAAGAATAAATAAATACCTATACAATACTAAATGCAGGTTCAATGAAATCACAAACACTAGCCTACCTTCTCAGTAATGAAGGCAAGGCATGGACATTTTGTTCTTTCTCAGAAGAATAAATTGTGTTGACCACCACAGGGGGAAAGCTTCCTCCCCCAGAATGAACAACTGTTCGTTCAGATGTGTTAACATCGTGGTTCTTAAGCGATGTTGCAGAGGAAACATAGCCCTCTGAGGGCGTCCCCGCAGGCCCACCAGTCCCCTCCGCTTCCACAATACAAAAGCACCAATACACATTGTCATCTCAACAAAAATGTCTCTGTGCGGCGACTGTCATTGCATGCTATCTTGAAACAGGCTGGTCACCGAATGCCAGAAAGTACGTGCCTTAGGACATTCGTGAAGTACATGATTTAGAGTTTCCGTCCGGCCGCACTACGGACATGAGGTGGAGGGTGCCACACCCCACGCCGCAAGGCGGTCAGCCGTCGGCAACGCCTGCCATTCTCTCAACCAAATGAAGTCTCCGAATTAAGCGGGTATGGCCGTGGTTTTCACGAACTAGCATCGACTTTTGAGGCATTTCTTGCACTGATCGTCGTTTAAATTTTTGTCGGCATGTGTGTTTAGAAAAAGTGGGTAACGATTTAGAGTGCTCGGTACTCTACTATGGTAGAGCTTAAAGCTACCCCAGAAATTTGCTAAAAAATTCTGATTGATACAGGAAGTGAATGCGCATTCACCCTTAATAGTTCCCTACACGGCACTAAAGTCACCAAACGATTCTCCAAATAGCCAAACCCATCCGCAGCGCCCACCAATGATGCTCAAGATCTAGCGTTCATACTTGTGCAATTGTCAATTAAAAAGCAACTATTGCGCATATCTAATGCACCACAACAACACGTCAATACCTATATATGTGTATTTTTTACTAAAAAAGGCATACATAACTAATTTTAAGGATCGTAGCCTTTATAACGCTGCACTGGCCATGCAAAGCTTGCACGAAACGGCAAGTGTTTCAAACGGTTTGCAAAGACGACATGGTGGTGGCACCTACCCGTCGCTTTGCGTTCTCCACCTTATCACCTAAAAGACGGGCGCGCGCCCGTTTTCCAGGATAACAGTCAGATAGCGCTCATGTCTGGCGTGTGACGTGACTTGATGCGCTCATCCGCCTCCGCTGCACGCTCGAGGCACTCTAACGTAACGCCTCCAGAATACCATTCACCAATTTTCTTGCGCAGAACATCGAATAAACGTTTTGTTCACTCTCTCCAGACGCAAGACTGTCGTCTTTCAACGACATTGGCGGTGTAACATGCAGATGCGGGGCCACATTTTTTTAGTACTTGTAGCTCCGTTTATAATGCGTGTTTCGATTGAACTCGGGTGTGAATGCTTTGCTCCAGTAGTACTATGATGAAAAACGGAGTGTGAAAATACCGTGTCAGGGACCCTTTACGACCGACAGAGTGTACGCTTGCCGGCAGGCACTAGGTCTATCAAAAGGGCAGCCGTTGAGCGCGCGTACAGGAAGCCACCTGCTGAAGCAGCGCATCTGCTCTCGAGCAGGTCTATGCGACTTGGCCCAGTGGCGGGTGAGCGCAGTGCGAAGGCAAGCTACCCTGAGAGGGACTCTCACGGGCGGCCAATGAGGTTCGGTGGAGCGCTGTGATGCGTGCTAGCATGGCTTAAAAGGGAAGCATTGTCTGAAAAAGTTCGGACACGCATCCCCGTGCAGCAAACGTACCGCGCGGCTCACGCCAAACAAAAGAAATCGCAGCATATCCACGGAATGAATGATGAGTATTGCGAAGCATTCGTACGTCAATTCGTGCTTCTGCCCGACCATCCGCCAATACATTCGTCCGTCCGCGTGTTCGTCCATGCGTCTTTCTATGCGTTCGTTCGTGCGTCCATCCATCCATCCATCTGTCTGTCTGTCTGTCTGTCTGTCTGTCTGTCTGTCTGTCTGTCTGTCTGTCTGTCTGTCTGTCTGTCTGCCTGTCTGTCTCTCTGTCTGTCTGTCTGTCTGTCTGTCTGTCTGTCTGTCTGTCTGTCTGTCTGTCTGTCTGTCTGTCTGTCTGTCTGTCTGTCTGTCTGTCTGTCTGTCTGTCTGTCTGTCTGTCTGTGCATGCATACATCCGTCCCTTTGTCCGTATGTCCACCCGTCCGTGCATGCGTCCATGCGTCCTATCGCACTCGATAATGCAGACGGCACGCGGGTAACACCGACGAGACGCGAGCAAAGGAAGCTGAGTGCAGCACTCTTAACACGCCCACCGCTCTGCTTCGTCCATGTCCCAGCAACGATCCGTCAAGTATGGCGACTATCCAGCAGCTCATCCCTAATTAGCGTGGCCATGTTCTCAACGCTCGAGCCGCACAAGGCCAGCGCTCACGCTAGCAGGGAAGGGAGGCGCGAAACGGGGATGGCACGCTCGGTTCCCACAAGCGTAACTGCTGAACTTCTGCTGAACATTTTCTTGCGGCAAAATGATGTCCAGCATCACGAAGCCAAATAGAAACGAAAGAACGAAGCGTAGACAAATCTGTCCACATACCCTTAGATTACATGTGGCTGAAGCGCAGTGCGTTGCAGCTCTAGGTGACATTAGCCCCCGAGCCCCCTCTTGGTATATAGGACACTCTATGCATTACCTGCCTCTTCAAGGACACCTTCTGAAACTTTTCACCTCTCCCTGCGCGTCATAGCTTTATCATTAAAGATTGACTGACGACACTACGCCTTAAAAAATGCCTTGTTTGGGCGACCAAAACACTGTAATTTGAGCAACGTAGCTTCTTCAGCGACTGCTGACTGATTCTCTAACAGTCGCCGCGCACTTGTATCAGCTCGCACCCGGGTTCACGAAGCTCCCAGGTGTCTCTCCTTGGTGTCTCCTATATACGGGTAGCACATAGAAGGCTCAAAAAGAAGGCAGATGCACATTTATCTGGCGCTGGCGCCCTTCAGCATTGAGTCATTTCCCCTTTCACGATCAATTCAGATTTTGCCCGGCGTTCGATGTGACCATGATGGTTGTCAGCGGCCGTCTTTAGGGGGTAATGACAAAGTTTTATATAATTAGACCACAAGGACCTCTGGCGCTAGTGTCTATGGGAGCTGCAATGCATGGTACTTGGGCCAGCATGAGAATGATGTGTAGTACACGGATTTGTCTAATCCTCGTTCTTTTGGCTCTGTTGACTTCGCGTGTTATGAATCCGTTTTGCCGCAAGACAAAGTTCAGCAAAGGATGTGCAGTTACGCTTCACCAACTTCGCTTTTTTAGGCTCACCAATTCAAATCGGCTGATGAAGTTCACTATGGTCTGTTCTTTCATTAGAAACAAAACCAAAACGCAACACTAAACAAATCCACAAGTGAGTTTAAATCTCTCAAGCACGAAGACTAGAAAACTCAGTGTACTACCCATCATGTCTCCGGGGGCTGAAACATTTCAGCGCCAGAGTCCTCTCTAGCTAATTTTAGAACTTTCATGGGGGAGGGCATGATCATTTTATGCCTTTTCATTGTTTTTTGTTGTTGTTATACGCACGCTTTTTGGGGAACTTTTGGCGCTATGATTCTATGCTGTTGTATAAAGTTGGCGACGCGCGCCTGATTAGGCACTCGTTTGCGACACTGTTATTATACTACGCATTATGAAGCGTTAATTACGCGCATTGCGACATGCGGGGCGACCACCTTCAGAGCGCACTTAACACGCACTTTTCGCGTCATTCACTACAGATGATGAAAACGCGCATAAGGTGCTGAGCTTCGAGGGCTGCCAATGGCATATTTGTATAGAAATAACTCGCCGTTAGCGATCTGGGTAACGTACGCTTCGTAACCTCGTGGTTTGGCCCAACAGGCTTAAGAGTAAGAGATCACATGTTCGACGGCCGGCTACGCTACAGGACAAAAAAGAAGGATGAGGGCGCGCACGACCAACAAGGTTTAGTACGGAGAGCGTAGATATATATATATATATATATATATATATATATATATATATATATATATATATATATATATATATATATATATATATATATATATATATATATATATATATACTCGCGCAATTGAAAACAATCAAACAATCACCGCATATCCACGGAGTGAATGATGATGAGTGGAATGAAGCTTCGCAAGGTTCTATCGGCAAACCGTGAATGGTACGTCTGTCTGTCTGTCTGTCTGTCTGTCTGTCTGTCTGTCTGTCTGTCTTTCTTTCTTTCTTTCTTTTCATCCGTCTGCTGTGCGTCCATCCGTCCGTTTGCACCTGCTGAGTGAGTCATAGCACTAGGCGGTCACGTACCAAGAGAGACAAGCATGTACAGTCCTACGGCCTTAGGAGCTTCGTCTCTGAAAACAAACCAATCATTCTAGAAGCTCACAAAATGCCATGAGCAAAATTTTACATTCTCGGGAAAGTCATTTTCTTTTTTTTTTGCCGTAGCTCGAGAGAGGCAGTGCTGCCACAGTTCAGCCGTAATATACAAAACGTCACTGACTCGATAATTGATCTTGTAGTTTTATTTCTTTTTTTTCAACAATATTTGTATCATGCAAAGGTTGTTTTGTGAATACCATTAACACAGAAAAAGTAGAAATAAAACTACAAGAGGAACTATCGATGGATAAAGAAGTTGTAGTTTATAGCTCAACTGCGTCAGAACGCCCTTTTTCAGGCTAAGTGAAAATCAATTGTCTTTACCGAGAATGTATGATTTTCGCACAAGGCATTTTGTGGTCTCCTAGAATGATTTGTTTGTTTTCGAATTTTGAGATCCTATAATTGTATGCTTTCTTTACTACACTTTGTTGGAAATTAGCGCTCGTCCTCGTCTTTTCTTTTGTCAAGTGTCAAATGTTTGCGCAAAGTAATCTTAGAGAGAAAGGTATCACATAGAAATATTACCATAGAAAGAAGAAATAGAACTAAAGGCGAAAAGACAATGAAAGCTAGAAAATGAACAGAAGAAGAAAGGGACAGAAGTAGAGTGAGAACAGATAGAAAGAGACAGAAATCTAGTAGGAAGGGCAGAAAGTGAGAGAAAAGAAATACAAATGGGGACTGACATAGCGAGAAGGAGAGATTAATAAATATAAATCTTAAAATAAAATATAGAAATAAACACGCAAGAAAGAAGGAAAACTCAAACAGAAGTGAAAAAAAGAAAGAGACGACGACATAAAGAAAGAAAAATAAAGAGTAAAAAACAAGGCACTTCACACTTGGCGCTACCGGTGCGAAACTCCCTTAATATTTTTCTCTTGTAATCAATTCTAAGATGGGTGATCAGAAATATCAAAACTTGATAAGCTTTATTTCACTTGCAGAAACAAACTAAGCGCTTTAGCGAAGCTGCAAACAATAAAATGCTTCAAGTCTGCGTTATTTGAACTTGGCCCTTGGCGATTGCGCGTTAACTGTCGGCAAAACCGCTTAACCCGTTCGTCCTTGGTGCTCGTGGATGAGTGGATTATCAAGATACTACGGTCAAAGACTCCACGGCGTTGTAGACAACTTCAGTGAGGAACGTGTTTTTCTTCGCGGAAAAATGTGACAACACAGCGAAACGAATTTTACGTCTTCCCTCTATTTGGGCCTCCGAGCGAGTTTGGGCTTTCCGTTGAGCGTTCGTTTTTTTCAGGCCGCTCATTTTTGTCCTGAGAAACGATGACTTCCATAGGTTTCCGACGTTGAGATTTCACATGCATATCATGGGAGCAGAGTTCGAAGCCCCGTTTTTAAGAGTTTTGCATTTGGAAAATGAGGCACAGCTCCTGGAACGTGCCTTTCTACGGCCTTTTAGAATTTGCGCCTCTACGATTTTTTGTCACCAAAAAACGAGCCTGCCCCATTGAAAACGGCAAAAATTCCAAGGTTGGCCACTGGGAGCCATGATTCTCCAGTGTCCCTGAAAGTGAAATATGCTAATCGCCCGGCCCGTCGTTTCCGCTGTATAAGCCACCAGCTGCGAATATACTATGTATAGAAAGACAGCGTACAAAGAGCACGTGCCTCAGGAGGTCTGCACCGACCTTTGTCGCTGTGTGATCCGGTGCACAGCTATTAGCTGACCTTACGAAAAAGACGGTTGCATTTCAATCTTTTCCCTGAAGCCGAAAAGAATACCGTAGCGCGCGTATTTCTGTTCCAAAAGGAGACACCTTGCGTTTTCCGGGTGAGTCAATCTATTCTCGCCCATCCTTCGTACGGGCAACTCGAGCTTCGGTGTACAGAGCAGTTTCTTGCCTGAAGCCTGATTGTCAATTTTGAGGCATTCCTTCTACAAACAAGTGAGCTTACAGCGCAGCATGAATACGAGAACTTTGTTGTGGAGTCGAGTGATAACAAGCTTGCAACCGGTGTTTTGTGACAAGCGTTATTTGCGATAATTTAGAAATGTTCAAACTGATCACATCAGCAAGAAGCCGTCCGCATCTGTCCATTCAATGTGAATGTTTTAAGGAGTGAGCTCACAGCTTGTCTGATATATCTCTAACGTTAGATTTCACAGTGTCGCCCCGTCGCGGTGGTCTATAGTGACTATAGGTTCTCGGCTTCTTACCCTCAGGTCGCGCGATCAAATCCCGGCTGCGGCGGCTGCATCTTCGATAGAGGCAAAAATACTGAAGGCCCGTGTGCTCAAATTGGGGTGCACGTTAAGCAACCCCAGGTGGGCGAAATTTACAGAGCCCTCTACATACGGCGTCTGTCATATTTCATGTTGAAAAGGAGAAACCTGTGGCAATATTCGTAACGCTCAGACATCAGCCAATTGTCAAGACTCGCATTTCATAAACGCTGTACGCCATCCACGTCATGCGGAATATTGTTAGCATTATTCACGTGGGTCCTTACGGAAAAAAATCTACTACAAACTATGCACTGGAAAAAATATTTGCTACAGCCATAGAGCCCTTCACTGGTTGCCCCTCCCGTCCACATTAGATAATCGTAATTTGTGTTGTCTGGCTTCAGTTGCGTAGCCAGGAGTGGCACCCTCCGGATTTTTTTTTTGCAGTGTTATACTGGCACAAAAAATTACACTTCACCACATCTGCCTGCCCTGCCCCAACTTCCGATAAAGGGGTAACCCCCCCGCGGATAGAATTTCAGGCTATGTCCCTGTATTGTTTAGTCTTGTGCTGCTAAAGAAAATATAGCGAGTGGGCAAGCAAAGTTTCTCATGCTTCCTTTTATTACGCCTATTTCTCACATATTTACCTTTTGCGCATGCAAACTGAACAGCAAGTACCATGCTGAGTGGTACGCAGCTTCATATTGACTGTCGTGTTGACACCGCAAAAGCTCGATCCATGTAGCATGATGACTGCACGAATATGAACGAAAAAAGGACGATAGATCGATAATCTCGCTTTCGGTAAACGCAAACATATGAAATATATAATGAAGCGAAGAAGGACATAGGAGTGTTATTTCTATGAAGGTAAAGGTGGGTGAATATAGGCGAAAAAACCTGCCACCCCTTCGATCCTTACCCACAATCTCTGTAGTGCGAGTTCGATGTCCTGCCTGGTGGACCTGGTTTTTATATTTTGGTATATTACTGCTACAGTCAGTCGGTCAACAAACTTTCTTCAGGTGCTAATGGACTACAAAGTCGTAGTTTTGGGCCGCGAACGATATTGTGAACAAAATGAACCTTTCATACCAGTACTTCACTCGAAGGTTACACAAAGAAGTCGGCACGAGCTAGCAGTGTCATTTTTCGGTGTGTGCCCGGAGGGCAAGAGGAGCAAAGGATCCAGTAAGCGTGAAGGTTGCAGTAAGAGACCTTCAAGGACAGATAATTAACGCACTATGGAAGAAAGTAAAAAAATTAATAAACTCTAGCAACTTTAAATCTTTTGGATACTTGAAGCGCATCCACTTCTCTCTTCCACATGACTCACTTCGCTTCTAGAACGAGTGAGCCGAAGGGAAAAGTGTCCAACTTTCATAATCAAAGACAAAAAGAAAACTTTATAAGTTCATGACAGCAAAAAAAACAAGAAATTTTATGACACATGTTGGCTATAAATAAGCAATAACTAAATATTTAGCGTTAGTATAGAAGTGAAGTACAGCAGAATTATCAATAATAAATTTATATATTTTTTCTATTAGTGGTGCATTATGAACAGAAAAAGTAAAATGTGAAGGATGTTTTTTTTTTGTTGTTATTAGGTTACCCTGATTAAGAGCCAATGGACAAAAATTACCCCATCTCTCACTAAGGAGAACCACGACTAGCCTGCGAAGCTGCGCATGGGTCGGCTTGATGTTTCGGTCATCAAGGGCACATTGCCCGATATTAAGGCATCCTTGCAAATGGAGCGCACCATGAACACACAGTATTTCCAATGCGCGTCTGCAGAGCCTCATTCGTCGACCCCATAACGCGATTGATGAGACAAGGCAAGGGAGAAAGGCCACAGCGTCTTACAACGTCTTACAAAGGCCGCAGCGTCTTACGGCCACATAGGAGGGCGAACGCGCTAGCGCGTGCTAGAGCGTTCTTTTAGGGTACAATGTGTCGGTTCATCGCGCATTTGCAGAATATCGCTGCCCGACGCCATTACATGATTGCTGAGACACTGCAAGGAAGAGAAGCCACGGCGTCTTACACGGCCAATTAGGAGGTTGAATGCGCTAGCGCGTGCTAGAACGTTCCTTTAGGGTACAACGCGTTGGTTCATTGCGCATTTGCACAATTTTGTTGCCCGACGCCATCACATGATTGCTGAGGCAGTGCAAGGGAGAGGAGCTACGGCGTCTCACATGGTCACTTAGAAGGGCCGAACGTGCTAGCGCGTGCTAGAGCGCTCTTTTAGGGTACAACGCGTTGGTTCATCGCTCATTTGCGGAATTTCGTTGCCAGATGTCATCACATGATTGCTGAGACAGTGCAAGGGGGAAAAGCCTCAGCATCTTACCGGGCCCCTTGATTGATATGTGGGGTTTAACGTCCCAAAACCACCATATGATTATGAGAGACGCCGTAGTGGAGGGCTCCGGAAATTTCGACCACCTGGGGTTCTTTAACGTGCACCCAAATCTGAGCACACGGGCCTACAACATTTCCGCCTCCATCGGAAATGCAGCCGCCGCAGCCGGGATTCCAACCCGCGACCTGCGGGTCAGCAGCCGAGTGCCTTAACCACTAGACCACCGCGGCGGGGCTTACCGAGCCCCTTATACAGGCTGGAACGCGCTAGCGTGCGTGCAAGTTCTGGCAGTGCTTGAGCCAGCTGTTGCACATCAGCAGTAAGTGTGATCACGCACACCAGATTAAGCTTCGCCATAAGCTGCTTTGCACCTAATGAAGTCAATGAAATTTATTTGGAAGTTTTTTGTGGTACTTACAACACAAATGTGAATAAGTTTAGGAGGGCGAAACTACAGCTGGTCACCGGCAGGGGCCAAACCTGCAATCTTATAACAGTGCGCCCGATGCCCAACCATTTGAAGTAAGCTGACGTTAATGCTTTTGGCCACTTTATTGGGTTCGGCCCCTGCACAAGGCAATTTGTCTTTTCAACCACTTTAGTTTGTTCATCTTCAAAGCACAATTACAACAAATAACATGCTCATTCTTTCAGTGGCTCGATTATCTGTTGGTTCTCATCAAGGTCATGTCTAGATAAATATTCATAATATATCTCTACGAACAATATGTAGTACTAAATATAATGCAAACAAGTATTTTTTCCACTAGATGTATACGTCAATACTGGCTTCGCATTTCTGTTAAGAATTATAGACCATAAAGAACATTCTTGGGACAAAAAAGAAGTAAAAGCGGCCAAATTGTATGAACATTTCTGACAGCTCATCTTGCTGACAAACTCCCGTCACCGTCGAAAAAGTCCAGTATGAGCTGCGCTGGTAGGATCCGGGCTTCAGAGTAACTCGAAATCTGGCAGTATGAGATGCTATGAAATTGTTCCACCTACACTTCAATATAGATCATCGAGTGACGCTAGGTGATGCATGAATGACAAGCTAACGGTGTTCTTTGCAAATCTTTCTTCACTTCTGTAGGCCACAGACTAATACTAACGTTTTAATTTGCAGATGTGGTTAAAAGTGACGACATGGTTAGTCTGGGCTTTCTGCTCCTTAAGAAGCCAAGATCAAGCATGGGCGCTCTTGGGAGTGACACCACAGGCCCTAATCAAAAGCTACAAGATTGTGGACTTGTCTCACCACTTCAACAATGAGACAATATACTGGGACGATAACGGCATCTACAATTTGAACGTGACAGTTTACAACACCACTAGAGCTGGATGGTACGCATACTGTTATTGACTACCTTGTTGACACCACGAAAGCTCGGTCCGTGTGGCATGATGAATACGCAAATTTTGTTCCCACTAATTGAATATGAATGAAAAAAGAACAATAGATTGAGTACCTCGCTTTCTGTAAACGCAGATGTATGAAATATATAATGAAGCCAAGAATGACATACGGCTGTTATGTCTACAACGGTAAACGCGGGTGAAGATAGACAAAATATTTTCCACCCTTTGGATTCTTACCCATGACCTCTGCATTGTGACTTCGATGCCCTACCAAGTGTGTAACTGTGGGGGCTTTTCCCGCGTCAAATTTCTGTGGTCCTTCTGCATGCGTAACTTCATGTGTGCCAGCACGCGCCACACTTAGTTGTGACGGCAAACGCTTAATTGGAAAACAAACGATTTAGCACGCTGCGGAACAATGAACTCAATCGCACCACATAGTACGTTGCTTGGTAGGATGATACTAGCACGTTGATGATAAGATAATGACACACCCTCGCTACGTGCGCAAATTTAAAATATAAGCATTTCGTTCTTCGTTATTTTAATGACGTCACGCGTAGGTCGCCAGTCACGCGTACGTCGCCACGTGTGGTGCAGTTCCTGCTATGTTGTTTTTCGTTCACCGAAACAACGCCTCAACTATTTTATCAATAACAGCCAAATGCGCCCGATCAACGCCACCTAGAAGATTATCAGTCCTGATCACTGTCGCCGTGACGTCACTCGTTTGAGCCGAGCGAGCACGCGTACGGGAGTGTGAATCCATTGCCGCAATCGTCTCCCTTTGAAAGATAAAGCGTTCGCGGCAAGTTTTACTTTCTGCCTTTTGGTTAACAAAAAAGGGCACTGGTTTAGGTAAATTATTGCGCTTGATACCTTTTGGACACTCACCTGTGAGCCATTTCTTCGACGAAATAGCTAAAGATTGACGCTATCGAACCTGCAATCGATCTCTAGGAAGGAATTTTGTGGACCAACAAATTTACAAAATAAATATGGTAGATAATATTCATTCTTTATTTGCACACATACGCGCACACACAGTATATATCTCGAGCACGCAGATAAACTGTTCCTATCTCGTTTGCAAAGTTCCTGAAGCTTTATTTGTACTCTGTCCAACATCTGTCTTCATGGGCACGTAGTTATTGAGGAGAGTGTGCAGGTGCCATAAGTACGACATTCAGCACAATATCAGAGCGACGACCATTGCAAGTGAAAACAAAATCTTTCGAGACCGACACAAGAAGCGGCGTTCCCTCCTTTGTTCTGGCCCCTCTCGCAGTGGTGCGTAGTCGGTCATATAACGTAGGGCCTCGGAAAACTGTTAGTATTGGGTTTGTGTTAACTGTGTAGCCCCCGTGGGTGCTTCTATCACAGTGCTGGTTCTTGGATCGTTATATTATTGGTAGTGGCTCCTAATTACTATGCCTTGAAGTAGAGATTACACACCTGAAAATCAATTAGGAAAGCGCTTTACCGTAAGTGTCTACATGCATCTAAATTTCAAGGAAATACACTAGACTAAGGTGCTGACCGCAATAACACTGCAATAACGTGATATGAACACCGGCAAGAAAGTACTATGCACAGAGCCGATGCACTAATTCCACTGCATTCTTTCCATTTTTGTCAACCAAGTGAACAGCGATAATACAAGTCCGTGGCGCTAATCGCCAGTTGCAAAATATTTACTGCCACTCAAGGAAAAATGCCTGTTCTAAATATCTTCTGCAACGAGCGATTAGTAATTTAATGTCAGGGCCTACGCCAACAAGTCAGAAACACAAACACCTTTCTTTCAGAGCAAGAACAGAACATGGTGGTGATGGGGCCATTGAAATGACTTTAAAATAAGCAGTACGGCCACACGTACCTTCAGGTCCCGAAGAAAACGAATGTCGACGTAAGCTTGACGAACGACACGCTCCGATTTTGTTCTTCGGTTGTGTTTAGGAAACAAGAACACTTGCGGCATCGGTTCTTTGCGGCGACAATTCGCCATGCAGCATTTCCCAACCATTCGTATTTCCAGCCGTACAGATTGTGAATATCCAGTGCACAAAACGCATCACATATCCACGCTGCAGTTCATGGACACAGAAAAAGATGGTCTTCTCAAGTCGCCAACATGAACACTAGCACGCTGCGAAAACTTTCGTCGGGCTTGGCGATCCATGTCGGTCGAGCGACCAGAGAAAGCGTAGGCACGTCTGTGTAACGAAACCCGCTAGTCAGAACGGAGTGACGTCAGAGCCTGTGGCCGACACAGTGAGCAGGCCTGAAGTTATCTAGTGGCATTGACCCGATCTACCTGTTCACCCCTCTCTCCTCTAGTTCTTTCCTGCTCTCTCTCATCGCCTAGCATTCGGACGTGCTTTGCGGTCACGGGGGAGAGTAGCCCCTCATGTAGTGCCTCATGATCACGGTGTAAGAATTGTTCTTACACCATGCTCATGACGGAAATCATGTAAAGTCATTTTTTTTTTGTTCAGTTGGGTACAGATAAGAGTGGTGCCCCGCCGCGGTGGTCTAGTGGCTAAGGTACTCGGCTGCTGACCCGCAGGTCGCGCAATCGAAACCCGGCTGCGCCGGTTGCGTTCCCGATGGAGGCGGAAATGTTGTAGGCCCGTCTGCTCAGACTTGAGTGCACCTTAAGGAACCCCAGGAGGTCAAAATTTCCGGATCCCTCCACTACGGAGTCTCTCGTAATCATATTGTCACAGCTCGACCATCGCAGAATACACGTGCCACAATTCGCGTTCGTAAAAGCCGCCACACAAGCAGCAAGAAAGCCGCGCCATCGAACGCCGTCCTGCACGCACCACGATGTTACGCCACGGCACCGGCACGAGACTCGAGGGGCAGATGAAGAGACCGACGAAGTTCTAGTCAGCGAGCAAGAGACATTTTAGGGGCGAAACACTTTATAGCGGCACCCGTTCGTCCCCTGTAGTATATAACAAGTATGACATTTTGACCTCCAAGGTGGTGCTAGCGAGAGACTTCTTCTGTGCGTTGTTGAACAATAAAAAATAGTGCTCAATGTACATGTCAATGGCTGCTAATGGGGAACGAAAGACTGGAGCATTTGGCTTTTAGTTAACGCGCAAGCTGCGATCACCATTAGCAGTCATTGGCATGTACATTGAGCACTATCTGACAAGAAAGGGTCGCTACGTTGTACTCGCTGGGTGTAACCTCCTTAGCTTTAGAAAGGTTTAGCGAGCGTTGAGCCGCAGTGCCATGAATACAATGAACTTGTATATACCATGAATGAACTCGAGGTGGTTAAAAATGGGAAGTAGATACGAAGTGCAAGCCGTGAAAAAGTAAAAGCTGTATTCTCCGCCTCTCATTTCCCATTAGCACCCATTGGCATGTACATTGAGCACTATCTGACTGAAAAAGTTTGCTACGTCATACTCTCTGGGCGTAACCTCCTTGGTTTTCGAAAGGTTTAGCGAGCGTTCGGCCGCAGTGCCATGAATACAGTGAACTAGTATATACCATGAACTCGAGGTGGTTAAAGGTGGGAAGTGGACCCGAAGCGCAAGCCGTAAGAAAGTGTGCGTGTGCCACTTCTCGTTTAGTCCTTGGAATGTCCGCTGGATGGCGGTGCTTCTATATGGAAAATATATGATGAAAAGATGCGAGATGGTGGTACTTGGAGTGTTGAATAGATGGACGAACGGACACATAGACAGATGCATGGATGGACGCATGAATGGACGCAGAGGCGGCTGCATGGACGAACGCAGAGACGGACGCACGAACAGACGCCCGCGCGGACGGAAGCAAGAACGAATCGACGGACGAATTCTTCGCTCCACTCTCCATCATTCACTCCGTGGATATGCTGCAAAATTTTTTGGCTGACCATCTTTAGTTTTGAGTTTACGGGCACAAGTTCAACCTAAATAAAAAGTTTATATAGTACCAGGTGCTATATTCATTCGTAGCAATCTGGTGGACGGGCTGGGTATGATTACGAGCCCACCACAGGCAAGGGAGAGAAGCCCATATCCCAGAAGATTGGAGCCAGCAGAATTACACCTGTGCACCAACGCACGAGTCCCCGACTACGTGGTGAGCAGCCCGAGTTTGGCCCCCTTATTGACCCATCAAGACCTGTCGAAACCTCAAGCACAAGCGTCACTGCGATGGCCACCCAATTGATGCCATCTCCATCTCATCTCATTGTGGATTCACCACGTACACCAGAGGTCTTCCACGGTGAGACCTTTGAAGACGCCGAGGACTGGCTTGAAGGCTTCGAGCGCGTTGCACGTTTGAATGGTTGGGACGAAGCCCGAAAACTTCGTTACGTTTACGTCACCCTGCAAGATTTGGCACGTACGTGGTTTGAGAACCCCGAAGCCTCCTTGCTGTCGTGGGACGACTTCTGACGAGAGCTAATTGCATCTATCCGAACACGGACCGCAAAGAGAAGGCAGAGGCTGCTCTTCAAGCGAGGAACCAACGGCACAACGAGAGCATGGCCATTACATAGAAGACATGTCGCGGCTCTTCCGCCGAGCCGATCAAAACATGGCCGAGGAGAAGAAGTTGCGGCAGCTAATGCGCGGAGTAAAAGAAGAAATTTTTGCAGGCCTGGTGCGTAATCCACCACGAACAGTGGCGGAGTTCCGTTCCAAGGCAACGACCATGGAAAGGACAATACAACAACGTGCGCGACTGTACAACAGAGACTTCAGCGTCTCTTCAGTCAGGGCGGAGCCAACAGCCCTTCCCACCAACGTTGACTTCCTCCGGGAAATGGTGAGGGCTATTGTTAAGGAGGAGCTCCAGAAACTGCAACTCCCCCAAAGTCCTCCAGTGATGCCCTCTATGGCGGACGTTGTACGTGAAGAAGTGCGGCAAGCATTTATTCAAACACAGCCTCAGGTGCCCCACCACACGCAACCGGAACCTCAGCCACAGCTGTTGTACGCGCAAGTCGTATGGCAAGACATCAGACG